CCTCTTTCTCCTGCTCCTCCTGCTCATCGATAGCCTAGGGCAAAGTTCGCGATCCGCCTTATGTTATTGAGAACCCCGAGCAGTTTGTTTTTGTCTTCATGGATGGGCGGAATTAGGGAGGGAGGGATGGTTGTAGGGAGGGGGAGGGGGGTAGGGTTGCAAGGCACAGGTTATCATGGACAGCACAGACAAATTAAAAACATTGTAATTTTATTATTGCCCTGGGACATAATTAACTTTCGAAAGATACGTATTCCTCAGCTAGGGTGGTATAAGGGGAATATAAGGGTGGTGGTGGTGGTAGTAACTTCTTAAATGATCATGAAAGTTTACAACCTACCAGCCGTTGGTCAACCGCCGGCCTTACTACCCCACCCCACCCCCCTGGCGCACAAGATACTGGAACCTTTTACAACACTGCAAATTAACCTACGAGCTTATCCCCTCCCTCCACCCCTCACTATCCCTCCCCTCCCTCCACCCCTCACTCCAGCTGGTGGATGGGTTCAACGTGGACAGGTCATAACCGATTGTAAAACCCTTATAATTGCACTCATAAGGGCCCGACGATGACCCTGCATGTGTGTATGTGTGTGGGGGGTAGTGAGCCGGATTGTTATAACAACCACTTATTATTTACGCTCCTTATTCACTTATATGTGTATAATTGCTATAAGTCATGTATTTGGTCTCATAACTTCCCCCCCTTTGGGGCGCGGAAAGGACCCCCTTTCCCCACCCCGTTCCCACCCCTACCCTCTCACTAAACACCTGGCCCGTGACCATGGCCGCTACTACGGCTGCAGGCCTGTCGTCGACGTCACTCGCTCTCATCTCCAGGCTGAGATTTCGCTCAACCCTTCACAGGCCCCTTTCTCTCTCGGTAATCTAGAGTTCCCAACTACCCCACCCTATAATGATCAATGACTCCACCCTACGACTCCTGCCCCAGCTGGGCCAACGATTGAGAACTCAACGCTTCGAATTTTTTCCACGAAACAATTCCTTCTCATGATTTTACCACACCTCAGTTAAAACACTTTTAGTGCATCTCACGATATGGTGACCCCTTTACCCCCCTCCGCTATATTCACACCACCCCACCCGTCCATTCCGTGAGCAAAAATGCAGGAAATGACCGGCGATGATACCACCCACCCCTAGACGTCCTTCCCTCCCCGCTCGACCTTACTTCTTGGCGAGGAGCACATCTTACTCCTTCTCTACCGGCGCCTGCAACCGTAACTGCACAGTGTCACGTTCCTCCCCTCTCCCTCTCCCTCTCCCTCATCTTGAGCCTTCTTCTTCTCTTCACTCAAAGTTCTCATCTTCAAAGATCCTTCAACGTCGGAATACCACACCCTTACTTTTTGTGAACACAAATTATGCCCCGTCCTCGTGCTCCCGAGCCCATCGTGAAGCTCTCCAAGGACTTCGCCCTCCTCCTCACCACCTCCGAGGACGCCCGCTGCGAGTTCATCGCGCGCCATGGCAAGGCGAGCTTGTTCAAAGCTCTCTCCGGCTGCGTCCCCAGCGTCGTCCCCCCCTGCTTGAGCCTGAGCAGCAAGCCGTCGGGGAGCAAGCTGGTGATCACGGAGGCGCAGTTCCTCAAGGTGCTGCAGAAGAGCGGAGCGTTCAAGAAGTTTAGGCACCGCAAGGCCGCGAGGATCGAGGAGGACCCGTCCGGCGCGGGGATGTGCATGTTCCAGGGAGTGCGGTGGAGAGACCCGTCGGACGCGTCGGACTACGAGGCGCTGGCTGAAGGCTACAAGGAGATGTGCGGGGCGCACGCGATCTTTGCGGGGGAGTGCTCTTTCGAGCAGCTGGTGTCGGTGCTGTCAGGGATCGTGCAGCTGTGGCACGCGCGTTGGCCGGAGTTCGGGAGGCGACGGGGGAAGGCTGGGACGCAGAACGGCGAGGAGGGGAGAGGGAAGGCGGGAGAGTCGAGCGAGCTTGACGACGAGGACTTCAGATCGGACGAGGAAGTGATGAGCAAGGCTCTGTTATCTTGCAACGAGGCGTCGGAGATGATCTTGGAGGAGCCGAGTCTGGACGATTTCTGCTTCTTGCCGGAGAGTGAGATGAGCCAGATCCCAACGATGCTGGCAGTCTCAGTCATGAGTGAGATCGACTTTCTGAACTTGTGACGCTCTCAGGCTCTGAAAGCTCTTTGACTTGTTGGAATGCGCGACTCAACTCCTGATTCGCAGCTCCTGACGTGCGGAAGCTACCAACTTTTTTTATGTATATTGTTTGTAACCGTACTTCTTTCTATTAAGCTAGACTGAATCTTGTAAGATCTGCTCACTAAATCTTGTAAGATCTGCTTCACTGAATCTGCATGCTTGCCAAAAGTTTTGTTGTGTTTCTGGGCATCAGTTGGGCATATGTAGTTTTGTTCATTCCTTCTTCCCACAAGGAGCGAAGGCTTCAGTTTTCTCGCTTGACTCTGATACAGTGGTGCTCAACCCTGAAGGAACTAATGCTTGCAGCTTGCAGGATCTCTTCTTTTGCCATCGAAGGTCTTCAATCTCTCACCATCGATCTTCAGAAGGAATCTTGTCTCATTTTTGATTGACTGCAGCCTCATGACAAGCAACTACATTCGCTTTCTGCGCTGTCCGTCTTCATACTTGACTCAGTCTTCATATGCAGAGACACAGCTACAAGTGTAGCGTCGTCGGTGCTGATGGCCTGGAGAGGAGAGATGGAACCATCAAATGGCCCTTCGTTGACTCATTCAAATAAGACAGGCTGATATATTTCAACCTTGAAAAGTCTTGTTCGAAACGCCATGTCACGTTTGAAAAACAAACATCAAAGACTCTTCAGGCATCATTTGTTTCTTCTGTATCAGAGCTCTTCTTGTGTGACACGCTCATATCGACAATGCTTGAAGTTTCGAACTCAAGATTTGTGTTTCCATTCAAGTCGCAGTACTATTCAAGAAATTCTGCTTCTCCTGAGATCGTCAATCCTTCTCTCCTCCTCCCTGTTCCTCTTCTCTTCTCCTTCCTACTCCTCTCCTCTGCTCTCCTCTCCTCTCCTCTGCTCTGCTCTCCTCTCCTCTCCTCTCCTGTTTCTCTCCTCTACCCGTCTCTCCTCCTCCCTGTTCCTCTCCTCTCCTCCTTCATGTTCCTCTCCTCTCCTCTCCTCTCCTCCTTCATGTTCCCCTCCTCTCCTCCTTCCTGTTCGTATACCTTTCTCGAGCACCACAAATGATGATGAGCACTTCGAGCACCACGATTGATCGAATGATGAGCCTGTTGGAACAAAGTATGTCACCCCTACCCCCCTCCCCACCTGCCCACAATGTGACAAATGATACCACCCCTTCTCTCCACTCCCCTGCACCCTACTGTTCACCCTTAGTCCCAGCAATCCATCTCAACCTGACTCGCTTACCTATCTCCTGCTTCCCGTGCTGACCTGTTGGACCTCGTCCTCCTCGTCCTCCTCGTCCTCCTCGTCCTCCTCGTCCTCCTCGTCCTCCTCGTCCTTCTCTCCCTCCTCTCCCTCCTCTCCCTCCTCTTCACTCAAAGTTTTCTCCTCCTTTCAACGGACTCGTTTCTACTTTCCCTCTGATACAACTCGCAGGTTCCACTCGAGCCCCGGCAGCATAGCTACGTAGCCGCTTCTCTTACTCGTTCGCTGCATTTTCCTTCCAAGGAGATCACCATGCCCCGTCCCCGTGCTCCCGAGCCCATCGTGAAGCTCTCCAAGGACTTCGCCCTCCTCCTCACCACCACCGAGGACGCCCGCTGCGAGTTCATCGCGCGCCATGGCAAGGCGAGCTTGTTCAAAGCTCTCTCCGGCTGCGTCCCCAGCGTCGTCCCCCCCTGCTTGAGCCTGAGCAGCAAGCCGTCGGGGAGCAAGCTGGTGATCACGGAGGCGCAGTTCCTCAAGGTGCTGCAGAAGAGCGGAGCGTTCAAGAAGTTTAGGCACCGCAAGGCCGCGAGGATCGAGGAGGACCCGTCCGGCGCGGGGATGTGCATGTTCCAGGGAGTGCGGTGGAGAGACCCGTCGGACGCGTCGGACTACGAGGCGCTGGCTGAAGGCTACAAGGAGATGTGCGGGGCGCACGCGATCTTTGCGGGGGAGTGCTCTTTCGAGCAGCTGGTGTCGGTGCTGTCAGGGATCGTGCAGCTGTGGCACGCGCGTTGGCCGGAGTTCGGGAGGCGACGGGGGAAGGCTGGGACGCAGAACGGCGAGGAGGGGAGAGGGAAGGCGGGAGAGTCGAGCAAACTCGATGGCAAGAAAGGGAAGGAAAAAAAAGATGTAAAGGACCTTTAGTTCTAGATGATCTTGGAGGAGCCGGGTCTGGACTTCTTGCCGGAGAGTGAGATCATGGCGAGATGCCTGTTTTGTCTCTGTATGCCCAGGCTAAAATGATCGCATGCTACTGTCATAAATATTGAATCACAAGTATGTAGACTGTAGACTGATGACCCCTGGACGGCCTTGCAAGCACCTTGACTCGTTGGAGGAGCAAGGCTGCAGAGTCCATGCAGGAAGATGCAAAGGCACGAGCGGGGCCGATCTCCACCCAGCATTCATACAAGGCAGCATCAAGCTTCGCACAAAACATGCCCTTGCTTCCTCCCTACTGCACTTGTTCATCGTCGGAATGCCTTCCAGCTTTGCTCATTCGCCTTCGTGAGCTCAAGGTCCAACCTTGGCCCGAGTGAAGCTCGCTTTTTTATGCACGCCTTGCCGGGTGAAGACCAGCGTCACCTGCGATCCGATGGGGCCGCTGATGAGTGCCTGAACCTGTCGCAAGACTGTCAGCTCCCTCCCAGCCCCCTTCCCAGCTCCCCCTGGCCCCAGCTCGACCCCACCTGTGACGGAGGCTGCCCGACGACGACGGCAGAGTTCACAGAGACGATCTGCTCGCGTGTCATCTCAAGAGGCTGCAGACGTCCAAGGTTCCCACCTGATCGCCGATCTTGATGATCCCGCTGGTGCCTGCTGGGCCCGACGGCAGAATTTCCGTTACCTGCGGGAGGGAGCAGGTCACGATCAATCGTCATCGGGATTATTTCGATGCCAGCGCATGACGACGATTCAAACTTCCTCGCTCCTGCCCTTCCCTTCTCTCACCTGCAAGTTCTTCCCGAGCCTGATCCCCGCGTCTCCCACCTTGGAGCTCTCGTACTGCTGCGGACCAACTCAAGGCACCAAAGTCTTGCCCTCCACTCCATGTACCTCCTTGCTCGACAGAGACATTCGCTTGCTGTCAAGGTACATCGGGTCACATAAACTCGCCGGCTCCACAACTGGCACACGCACATCTCATCGAGGCTGCTGCTGCGAACAGCAGCCGAATGCCCGAAGATCTCGCTTGCAATTTCTTGATCCATCCCGTAGGTGAAGTCTGGCAGGCAGCCGGTGACCCCTCGTCCCCCCACTCGTCGTCATCCTCACCGATGTGTCCTCTTCCAGCTAGAGGCTTGCAGGTGGCGAGGGAGGGAGACACGCGGTACAGCGCCTTGTAGTGCTTGAAACAGTCCTGACCTCCCCGTTACCATGTCGATTGCACAGGAGGACGGAGAGGGGAAACAAAAGTGAGAGCTGAGCAGAGAAGTGCATGGAGAGAGGGAGAAAGAGCGACGGGAAGAGCGGAAACTGAGGGAGGGAGGCAGGGAGAGAGGGAGAGGAGGGAGAGGAGGGCAGGGAGGGACCTTCGCAGGGATGAGGTTGTCGTTGAGCCCAGCCATGAAGTGGATCGGGATGTCGATCAGGTGGTAGTGAGCCATGTAGTCGACCGGCGTCTCTGTGCCTGAGCTCCACAACCCTCGTCAACGTGCCTGGTCAAGGTGGGGGAGGAGGGAGATCGGACCATAGACGCGCAGGTTGACCTCCGGGCCGTAGTCGAACGAGAGGAAGCGCTTCTGTTGACACGATTTCTTAGCTCCTTTCCTTGTAGTCACAGTTGGAACCTTGACGTAGTTGTTCCAAAACTGCAAGAAGACCTTGGAGCTCGTGCCCGCGATCTGGGTGGACCAAATAAGAGTGTGAGAGCGCCGTTGTTGATGATGATTGTCAAGACGGTGCAAATAGAGATGATGGAGATGATGATGGAAATGATGATGAGAATGATGATGATGATGGAGATGATGATGATGATGATGATGATGATGATGATGATGATGATGATGATGATGATAATGATGGCACAAGAAACAGGAAGGGAGAGGACCATATTGTCGGTGACCATGCTGACGTGCGAGTGAACTGTGGCCTTGAAGTCTCCTCCTGCAGCACAGTTCACCTGTCGTCTCCTCCCCTCCTTCACTCTCACTTACCCAGAAACATCTCTCCGCAAGAGTAGATCAGGTCCCGCAGGGCTGGTAGGCTGACTGCATCCTGCACCAGGCTCAGCGCTCGGAAGTTCCTGAAAGGTCCTCCACCTGCATCAGCTTGCGGGAGAGATTGCGCGCCGACTGCGACGGGATCGAGAGGGTGTATACCCCGCTCATCTTTACGAGCCTGCGACTTTGACATGAGATACCAGGCACTGGCCTCCTCCTTTGCCCCAGCCTCCTTCTGACCTCTTCAGGACTGGCCCGAAGTAGCGGCATGCGCGCGGGATGCGGTGATGGTATCCCTGCTGCAAGATGAGGAAGGAGAAGGAGCTCGAAGACGAAGAGACCGCAGGTGACATGAGAACCATGCGGGACAGACGATGAGGATGCCCAGCTCTCCGCTTGTTCACTGCAACGAGAAGATGAGAAAGAAGCAACGTAGTGTAGGAGGTAAGTTGTACGAGCACGTAGGCCATGAGGAGGGAAGAGAAGAGAGGAGCGAGTAGGAGGAAACAGTAAGTGGGGAGGGCAAAAGGGGGAACAAGGAAGATGAAGAGGACGAGGACGATGACGTGGTGGGTGAAGAAGATAAGAAGGACAAGGCGAACCTAGGTAGATGAGAGAGGCCGCAGCGCCCATGCTATGTGCAACGAGCGTGATATCAATGGGGCAGGGAGTATGGAGGAGCCGGTCGTCTTCTCCGTCTCGAGAGATTCCAAGTTCTTGCTGCTTGATCTTCCAGATTTCCTGCTCACATTTCAACTGCCTCATTCCAAGGTGAAGCTGTCGGGGAGTGCCTGGATGAAGGCGTCGAGGTCGAAGTTCCCGTGGTCGTCAAGGGTGAAATCCCTGGACAAAATCAAACATGCAAAACTTGTACCTCTGACTCCTAGGAGTACGAGGTGGATGGACGGAAGGAGAGAAGGAGGCGAGGCGAGGTGAGGTGAGGTGAGGTGAGGTGAGGTGAGGGGAGGGGAGGTGAGGTGAGGGAGGGAGGGAGGGAGGGAGGGAGGGAGGGAGGGAGGGAGGGAGGGAGGGAGGAGGGAGGAGGAGGAGGAGGAGGAGGAGGAAAAAAAAAACTATTTTTTCCCCCCCCCCCCCCGAGCGGGAATTTGTTAACGCGAAAACAAATTTTTTCTGTTTTTGGGGG